GCTGCCCTTGGTCACACCCTAGTCACACCTTAGTCTCCTTTGGATCTGCAGTGGAACTGCCCTCAGCATGGCAGCCTGATCCTACCTCCTTACATACCTCTGGATTAATTCTTTGGGACTGGGAGGTTCATCGTTCTCCTGGATTATAAAGCAGAAAATACACAGCATAAGCAGCCACACATGCAACTTCTTATTCACAGCCCAGTATAACTATGGACAGTACACTGTTAAGCTACATGAGTAGAAAACTTCCAGAGCAGATAACTAAGCCATGAAACCAGCAGCAGCTATTCCAGCTGACTGCTGCCTCTGCAGCTACAGCCAGAGGGTTGGGCACCAGGCAGGCTGAGGTGCCTGAGCCCACCAGGTGCTGCATGGATTGAGTGAGATCTTTCAAACCTGGCTCACGTTAGCTGGACTTACACACCCCTTAAACAGCTCTAGAAACCCTGACAGATTTTTGCACATCACTTACCTGAAGATAAAAGACACCAAAATGAAAGGAGGTGGGATAATGAGGACTCTGCACACTCCAGCACAGCCTGAAAAGCTGTGTCTTGTCACACCCTGAAGGCCCTATCTTGTCACACCTAACCTTCCACCTGGAATCCACACATGAATCAAATGCCTCATTGCCCTAAAAAAAACATGCTAGGAGGGTTTTTACATTTCTTCTTCATTTTATAAAACCATAATGACTTTAGAGTGGAAAAAAATCCTAACAAATGAAAACAAAGTAACCTGGAAACAGAAGATGGAGAGTAAATGGATTTTGCTGCCCACCCTTACAGCCCTCAGCCTCTACACACAGCCCATAACCAGCAAACATTTGGGTTATGACAGTAAAACATTTCACAAAGGCTCCCTGTGCTTCAAGGGGGACCAAACTGGTTTGGTTTTGGTTTAGTTGGGTTTTTTTTTTAATAAAACATTAGCCTCAAAGGGATTAAAAAGATTGCATTTTGGAAAGACAAAGAAAACTGTATCCAAGCAAAAGAGTTTGTACACAACTGCTACCCAAATAGCTCATGGAAAGCTTGAAATGTGACACAAAAGGAAGATGTGCAAAGTATCCTGACACTGCAGTCATGTTACAAGTCAGTACTGGGAGAGCAATGAATGAGATACAAATATTTACCCTAGGTAGCTAGACTGAAGAATGTAAACAGATTCCACAGGTATAATATGTCAGTATCTTTACTGCTGGAATGGAAACGTTAACTCAGTCAGGTCACTGATCCTGAAAGATGAGCAAAATCAATTACATTTTTTTGCCTGTCAGTCATTCCCATCATTGCCTCTCTTGCTGCTGACTGCTCCCCTGCCTTCCTGCTCGTTTCAAGGCACTGAACAGCTTCTTATACCCACTTTTCATTTGGTGTTTTCACCATTTCCCAACTGGCATCTCAGATTAACACTGCTTGTTGCAGAACTAGTCCCTTTTTTTTGTTTATGGTATTGCCTGTTCCTACTGCCTCCCATCTCAGAAGGGTGGCCTGCCTGCTCTCTGAAATGCCATCTTCATCTCACTTCTTCTCAAGGACCACAAATTTTAACCACCTTCTAAGCAATAAAATCTGCTCCAGAGCTCCCAGCAGTCAGTGAGAGCCTTTCCATTTCCTTCAGTGGACTATGAATCAGGACTGGTTTGCTGCTAGGAACTCAGAACTGAAACCTAAAAAAACCCCAAAAGGATCTATCTGCACAGGTGGTTTTGCAGTGAGTAACAGACTCCTACTTGAACTCAGTCACAGCAAGGATGTATCACAGAATCACAGAACTGACAGAGGCAGAAAGGAGCTCTAGAGACCATCCAGCCCAACTCCCCTCTAAAGCAGGATCCCCAGGAGCACATCACCCAGGGCTGCATCCAGGGGGTCTGAATATCTCCAGAGAAGGAGCCTCCACACCCCCCTCCCGGGGCAGCCTGTCCCAGGGCTCTGCCACCCTCAGAGTAAAGAAGTTTCCCCTCATATTTCAGGGGCACTTCCCACGTTCCAGCCTGTGCCCGTTGCCCCTCGTCCTGTCCCTGGGCACTGCTGAGCAGAGTCTGGCTCCATCCTCCTGCACCCACCCTGAGATACCTGTAGGCATTGATCAGGTCTGTCCTCAGCCTTGTCTTCTCCAGGCTGAACAGTCCCAGCTCTCTCAGCCTTTCCTCATCAGGGAGATGCTCCAACCCCCCAGTCACCTTTCTTGCCCTTCCCTGGACTCTCTCCAGCAGTTCCCTGTCTCTCTTTGGTTAACACCATTATGTGAATATTTCCCCAGACATTATGCAAAGGACTAGGGCCTTCACTTTATTAACTTTATCTGAACAAATCTGCAGTGATGCCAAAGACTTCTGACAGAGCTTGAGTAAACAAGCATAGACTAGTTCTGTAACTTCCTATTTAAAACACCATTCTACATCTTGCTAGGTAAAACAAGAACTGTTATGTTCATGAACCAGGTTAGCAAATCATTATTAAAAAAAAACAACAAGCAACAACCCAGAGTTAAAATGGCTGTTTAGATAGAGACAAGAGTATCTGGAAAGCACAGTGAAAAGTTTCTAGCCAGTCTGCTTTAAATTCTCAGCAGTGAGGATGTGCAGTGCTGCTCTTGCAAGGTTTCTCTCTCTAATACTGTATTATTCAACTAACAGCATTTGAAGAAAAGGCATTACAGAAATGGAAAATAACCATGCCACTCCACTCTGTCTCCAAAAAACCCCTGTTATTTATTCCCTCTCCATGTAACTCCCTCTGCCCATTCCTACCTGTTCTCTCATGCATGTTTTTATAAGGAGAAATTAAACTGAACTACTGTTGCTCACCCTCCCTTCTCCTGCCAGTTAAGTTACAACGTTTTGTAAGTGGCCTAGATGTGAAGCCAGAGCTTTCCTGCAACCCCTCTGTGCTTCCACCAAGTCATACAGGGCAATCAGCTCTAACCATCTGGGAGATCTGATCCAGTATAATCATGAAGAGGCACAAACACTGCATCTCTTCATGTTATGGAAAAAAGCTATCGTGATCAGACAGCAACTATTGCCAATATAAAGCTAAAATATTACACATTTATTTAAAGGTACATTGTGGTTCAAAGGCCTTTTCAGCAGCAGTTTTGACAGTCATGACAATTCACATTTTTCAGATATTTACCCTATTTTGTGCTAACCAAGGTTCTTTAAGGGAAGGGATAAAATAACACTGCCAGTTACCCCAGAACTTTGCCAAGTGTATCAGCCAAGTGCATCAGCCAGCCAGACAAACTTCACTGAATGGAGGCAGTTTTGGGGGTTTTGCTTTTATTTATTTTTATTTTGCTTCACTCTTCTAAAAAATAGATTTATGCTGACACTTTTATCATCATGATGTACACTCCACCCTCACAGCTTCAGCCATGGGAGGCAAACACTTCATAGAAATGAAATTACTGTTGCAACAGGGTTGCTTATGACATTGTTTAATACAAAAAGGAGCCAGGACACGTTACAGTGATAGGGGGTGGAGTGTCTTGTATATACAGAAGGGAGGGTATTACTTCTATTCTGCCATCCATGTGGGAAGAGGGGACAAAAACAAATGCATTTCCTTGCCAGTACTGAAACATGCAAAGACAAATTGCTTATTACAAGTCGGATGCAGCTCAGAATAAGTTTAAAAAAATAAAAATAAGAAAGAATAGGCAGCTCTAGAAATGCCCCAGTATACTTTGTTTGCTTAGATGTTTTCAAACATATATTTAGGACTCTGATCTTTCACTTCATAACTTGGAATTAAGCAATGAGTGAACAGGACCTGAAATACAGACAATGCATTGCTCACACCACATGAAAAGGCATATTTTAAATGCAGCTGTGGATTTCTAGACTTAAGACTGACCAGGATTTTCAGTTGCTTGGAATTTGAAACGCCAAGATGAACCTCACTGCATGACATCTGTTTTCTTCAAGCAGAATTGTAACTACACAATAAACTGCTGTTTCAAAGAGGCAACATGCAGAATTGAAACCTATTTGTCTCCTGTAGGATTCAGCTGCCCTGTGCACGAAGAGGTAGTGAAGCAGTGGTGCAGGGAGAATCACTACAGCCCTGCAAATCCACAGCTCAAGCATGAGACCTAGAGGCTGGATCTCTGAGCAGCAACACTGAACACACTGCTCTTACCAAACACACCACTTCCTTTAAACCATGGATTTTTGTTTCAGAAAAAACAGCTGCTCCACAAGGTTTTTCCCTCAAAAGAAAAAGGAAAAAAAGAAGGCAGAGAGGCTGGGAAGAGGTGGAAAGAGTTTATGCAGGATGATGGCACTTAGCAGAGGGCTAAAAAAAGCAAAAAAGACAATTTTCAACGGGGCAGATTCCAACCAGAAAATGGGAAAGCATCTTCCCCTCTCAGTGCCTGGCCAGAGGTGACTGGGACAAAACTTGGGTTGCAGCTACAGGCTGAAGCAGCAGCCTTGAGAAACAAAACAAACAGGCATTTATCCCCTCGACCCCCCTCCCCCAAACTCAAGCCCTCCCTTCCCCTCCCAGTTTAGCCAAGCAGGCCTGATGCTTCTGCTTGTCCATGAGGCAAACATGAGCTGGAACCCCATTCAGCCAGACCCACACCCCTGGCCCCTGATGTCTATAATAATAAAAAAAATAAATTCAATTTGAAATTTTATTGGCGTGTTGCTGGAATGGTCAACATGGATGTCCAGGAGGGACTGTCCACATGCTCTGGGGAACAGCCCCCCTGCTGCACCCACCCCCTCTGCCCCTGCTCCTCCTCTCCCTCGCTCCTTCCTTCCTGCAGCTGTGAGCAAGACCAGAAGCAAAACAAAACCCTGGCTGCGGGTGTCGGGAACGCCGGAATTTCCCTTGGGATGTGCCCACGGATCCCGCTCCCACTCGCGTCCCCACGGGAGGAGGCTGCAGCCCCCCAAAAAAACGTGGGCTGGGCTGGGCTGCTCCCCTCAGGCAGGGCAGGAGGGAGGGAACCCTGCCCTCCCGCGGGTGGGAACTCCCCTATTCCTTCCCAGCCACGACGGCCAGGTCCGGGATCACCCTCAGTTTGCCTCCGGCGTCGATGCGGCGCTTCTCACGGATCAGGTCCTCCAGGCTGTGGAACCTCACGGTGCGCACCTTGTTCTCCGCCAGGTGAACCTTGAGGTGATACTGCTGGGGGGGCTGAGGCCCCGCGGCTCCCCTCACCTCCCCCCCGGCTTTGAACTCCCTTTTCCCGAACCGGCACCAGGCGGCGAAACTCTCCGAGTTCGTCCAGCAGATCTCGTCGCTCTTTAAACCCAGGTGCCCGCAGGCGTTTTGCACCACCAGCTCGGCTACCAGCGGGCGGAAACGGTACCAGTTACTCACCACCCGGCCCGCCGTGCCCGCGGCCAGCTCGTACAAGCTGTCCTGCCGGATCCGGCCCCGCTGCAGGG